ACATATTATTATGGTACATTTATCACAATTTTTTTTTTTTTTTTTTTATTTTGTCAATATACACTGTATATGATTATTATGGCCCATCACCGACACCTCCCTCCTCCTCCCTCTCTCCCCTCCCCCCCAAGAATGTCCTTTCCGTTTGCTTGTTGTAACAACTTCAAAAAAGTATACTTGTTATATCTCCCCCCCGCCCCCGGGTTTTTTTGCGTGCGGATGTGGGGGAATTAATTTGTTTATTTTTCGCTCCCACCAATGAGTGAGAACATGTGGAATTTCTTTTTCTCTGCCTGACTCGTTTCACTCAATATTATTCTCTCAAGGTCCATCCATGTTGTTGCAAATGGCAGTATTTCATTCATTTTTATAGCTGAGTAGTATTCCATTGTGTAGATATACCAATAAATAAGTCACTTGGTTGTCAATAGGAATGACAAATGTCAAGTGATTTCTGCTGGAACTAAACAAAATGAATGGAACTCATCAGTTGACCACATTGATTTAACCTACTATGTGTCTTTCCTCAAATCCCAGAATCCCTAATCCTTTTTTTTTGAGTTTCCCATGCTGCCTGGTCTACTTGTAGACAAAAGATAAGATGGGAAGCTACTCATCTTGTTCTCTTTCTCTTGACCTCAAAGGTAGAAACTGAAGACCAGGTGCTGGCAACCTTCTGTGGCAAAGAGACCACAGACACAGAGCAGACCCCTGGCCAGGAAGTGGTTCTCTCCCCTGGCTCCTTCATGTCCATCACTTTCCGGTCAGATTTCTCCAATGAGGAGCGATTCACAGGCTTTGATGCCCATTATATGGCTGTGGGTAAGTTGGAGAACTGCGTGGCTCATCCTCGGGTCTCTCTTTCTCTCTAAAGATGAAAATTACCTTGTGTCCTCTCCTTTACAGTGAATACCTGCACACTCACCACACAGATTCTACCATTAATGTCTTACTGCATTTGCTCTATCATATATATATTTACCTATCCTCTATCCATCCTCAATTTAGCTTTTTTTGATGCATTTCAAAGTAAGTTGCAGACATCAGTAAACTTCTTTCTAAATACTTGAGCATGCACGTCATTTTGCTAGAGTTCAATATCTGTTGTTTTTTTTCCTTTTTGCACAAAATTTACATCCAATGAAATGCACAGATCTTAAGTATACATTTGTTGAATTTTGAAAAGTGTATGTTTGTATGTAACCCAAACCCCTAACAAGACATTGAACTTTACCATCAGCCCAGAAATTTCCTTCATGCTCCTGCCCTGTTCCCACCTCCCTCAGAGGAAGTAACTGTTCTAATTTCCTTCTGCTATAGGTTAGTTTTGCCTCCTCTAAAACTTCATATAAATGAACACAGAGAGAATATATTTTGGGGGAGTGAGGATTCTTTTATGCAGCATAATGTTTCTGAGATTTGGTCCTTTTTCTGGCAGAATAATTTTCCATTGTGTGAATTACTACAATTTATTTATCCATTCTCCCACTGATGGCCACCTGGGCTCTACCCATTTTTTAGCTTTCATTGATAAAGTCTCTATGAACCTTCCTGTACAATGTTTTTGTGAACACATGTTTTCATGTCTATTGGGTAAATATCTAGGAGTAGAATTTCTGGGTCTTAGGGTAGATGTATACTTAGTTATATAAGAAATTGCAAGGCCATTGAACAATTTTATATCTGTCCAGCCGTGTATGAGACTTCCGGCTGCTCCACCTCCTCACCAACATTAGATGTTGTCAATTTTTTGTTTTTAACTACTCCAGTGGATATATAGTCGTGCCTCATTATGATTTAAATTGTATTCCCTGATGATAGTAATGTTGAGCATCTTTTCAAGTGCTTGTTGGCCGTTCATATTACTCTTTTGGGGAAAGGTATATTTGAATACCTAGGACAGGGCTTAACCTGCATTAGGGGCTTAGAAAGAAAGAGGCAGCATGGTGTAGAAGTTACGAGCCCAAGCTCTAGAGCCAGCCCACGTGGGTTTGAATCTTGGATCTGTTGCTTACTATCTGTGTGACTTTGAGTAAGTTGTTTAGTGCCTCTGTGTCTCAGTTTCATCTTCTATAGAATGGGGATGGTGACAGTCCTGCTTCCTAAGACTGTTGCCTGGCACAGAGTTCCCACACCTGTTAGGGTGTAGTGGTCCCACCAGGAGTCAGGTTGCCTAGGTTTGAGCCTGGCTCCCTGTGACCTTGGGTAAGCTGCCTAACTTCTCTGAGTTCCAGTTTCTTCATTTATAAATGAATATAATGGCTATCTCTGGGCTTTATGGAAGGATTAAATGACACAATGCATGAATCTCCCAACACAGCGAGTGGCCCAAACTAAGTGCGCTATAGACATTGGCTGTCGTCTTCATCATCATGTGTTGATTGACTGAGACTCCACCTGCCCTGCAGATGTGGACGAGTGCAAGGAGAGGGAGGATGAGGAGCTGTCCTGTGACCACTACTGCCACAACTACATCGGAGGCTACTACTGCTCCTGCCGCTTTGGCTACATCCTCCACACAGACAACAGGACCTGCCGAGGTAAGGGCTAGGGTGGTCCCCTACATCACCATTGTATGCCACAACTTCAATAAGATTAGAGGCAGCTCAGAGGAAAGACAGATACACAGTAGGAACAATTAAAAATGAAGTCAGAGACATGCCTCAGACACCACAAGGATGAAGGTGCTGAGATGGCCCCTCAGCCTTGGAGGCCTGGGCTCAGGCTCTCAAAGGACCACATGAGAGAAGCTCTAATTAGGCCATCTCTGTTCCTAGGCAGCATTTCTGCTCCGTAGGTCCCTGTCTCCTCTCCTGTTGCAGGTGATCAGCCTAGTCAAGTTAGGGGAAAGCCTGGGTTTCCCAGTCCCTTCTCTCTGAGCCATGAACTATGCCTCACCCAGCAGTCCCTTCTTCTCCATGGCCCTAAGTTCCTCTATGACAGACAGGACCTTAGTCCAAAGGAAGGAGGAGGGAGGAAAGAGGCAAAGTCAGAGACAGCAAGAAAACTTCCCGATCCTTCTTTCTCTCTCTGTTTCATCTCTCATCAACATACCTACTGCTGTAGTCTTCAGGCTGGGGCAGGGATGGAGAGAGGGAAGGGTTCAGCCACTTTCCAGGAGGAGCTCCCAGGCTAGTGGGGTAATAGCCACACAAGCAAATGGTGAAATGCTACATTCACTACATGTGTGTAAAGGAAGCATGGACACAGCACAATCAGACCTGAGTGGGCCTGCAGATGTGAGCAAGTGCTTCCCAGAGACGGTGACCCGTGACAGATGAAAGAATAAGAAGGGCAGACAAGAGAACAGCTTCTGCAAACATTTAGAGGCCTGATAGGACTTGGAGTGTTTGAGCACCTGCCAGTAGATGAGTGTGATCTAGGGTAAGGGTCTGAGCTTGAGGTCCCCCTTGAAAGCTGAGTCGTTGGAGGAGGACAAGGCTGGAGACAAGAGTTCTCTTTCTTCCTCCTTCAAAAGCTGCTACTTGCTTCTGAAGAAGACCTATATGACTCATCAGTACAAAGCAGTATAAAGCAAAAACAGCAGGCACATAGCAGGGCTTTTTGAAAAGGGTTATGTTTTCTATTGTTCTCATTTGGTTAAGTTTTTATTGCCTATCTACTATGTGCTGAGTACAGTGGGGGCTAAGAATGCTCAGGGTAGAGCAAGTTTTCTCAATCTTTTTTATTTTTTTTTTTTATTTTCACCCCTGCCCCCAGGAGCCTTTTTAAACATTACTTTCTTAATGCAGTGGGGGCTAAGAATGCTCAGGGTAGAGCAAGTTTTCTCAATCTTTTTTATTTTTTTTTTATTTTCACCCCTGCCCCCAGGAGCCTTTTTAAACATTACTTTCTTAATAGCTTCTTCTCTTGCATGAAATTTTAATACCACAGATATACAGATATATCTGCTTATATACTGTTTGTCTACTTGTGTATTAAGCATAAAAAGAGTAAAACCTCCTCCTGCCAAGAGTCAATTTTAGCCCCCTTAGGAATGAGGTCACCCCCATGAGAAAGCTTGGGGTAGGAAGCGGAGACAGATCAAGCTGCAAGAGACTTCCCTCTTAACCTTGTTCTGCAGTCAAGGCTGTGGGACTTTGTTAGCCATACCCCTCTCCTGGGCCACAGTTTCCCGTTTGCAAATGAGCAGAAGGGCTAAGAAAGGACTGACATCCCAGATCTAGGATGGTCATCTCCAGGGTAAAAGTTCAGTGGTAAATAAAGTCATCTCAGCAGGGCTGAGTCACATCCAGGATCCCAAGACACTGGATCCTTGGATGCAGCCATTGCAGTGGGGAGCAAAGCAGAATCCTTGAGCTCGTGGAACTTGCAGTGTAATAGGAACAAAAAAATGAACAAATGACTTTACGATATAACATCGGGTGGTGGACAGCACCGTGAAGAAAAACTAAGAAAGGGCAGGGGCTACGAGGTGGGCATGTGTGAGGGGCCTGCATCAGATGAGGTATCAGGACGGCTGTGAGCAGAGACTAAAGAAAGCTCTGGGCAGAGAGGGGAGCAGGACCAGAGAGGTACAGATATCTCCCGACCACTCCCTCTCAAAGCTCTCCTGTCTCAGACCCCCTCCCCCCCCCCCACCAATGCCAGAGAATGTGACAGAAGGGTCATCACACAAAGTAAACAGCCCTGGACAGAGTAAGTCTGCCTTTGAGTCTTGACTCTGCAAGTTACTAGGCATATGACCTTGGATAAATCAGTTCCCTTTGCTGAGCTTCAGTCTCTCCATCTGTAAAATGGGGGTGCTGATTCCTTCCCTGCCTTCTGCACTAGACCTCAGGGAAAATGATGCAGAAGCTGACCAGCAGTGAGTGCTGTGGCAGCAGTGTGGGTGAGCCACCCTCTCTTCCATGTTTCCCACAGTGGAGTGCAGCGACAACCTCTTTACCCAGAGGACCGGTGTCATTACCAGCCCCGACTTCCCAAACCCTTACCCCAAGAGCTCTGAATGCTTTTACACCATTGAGCTGGAGGAGGGTTTCATGATCAGCCTGCAGTTTGAAGACATTTTCGACATTGAGGACCATCCTGAAGTGCCCTGTCCCTATGACTACATCAAGGTGAGCCTGCAATGAATGCTTGTCCTGGTGATGCTGGAAAATCTTGGCTGAATTGGGAAAATTGATATTCTGGATCCTTCACCTTCTCCCAGGATAGTGGGCCAAGCAGCTGGCTTCCCCAGAGTTATTATTTTAAATACCATCTACCAGCTTAGTCAGACCCAGCCTAGGGATCATCTCTGATCCAAAACCAGCCCCCTGGCCACCAGAGTGGTTTGAAGAGGAGAGTCACAGGGTCAAATCTACATTTTAGAAAGGTCCCTTGGGGCAGACCTGACTTCATACAACCCATACAGTCAAGCAGGGCCCTGTGCACAGAGGGGACCCCCATGCTTGGTTTAATGTTCTGCTGTTGTGTCTTGAAATTCTAAATAAGCTTTGAACAAGTGGTCCCACATTCTCATTTTGCACTGGACCCCACAAATTATATAAGTACAGTCCTGCTCAGGGAAAGGAGACTATGTGAAAGGAAAAAAAAGCAGGAAGAAAATGCCACAGGCCAATAACCACTCAATTTGTGGTTATTCTGACATCACTGGAGAGACACAAAGGCAGTCTGAATTTGAGCCAAAGCTGTGATATGGGGGAGATATTTCTGAGATATGGGGGAGTCAAATGAGCAACTCTTGGAGAGTGATTGACCGAAACATCCAAGTGGAGCTGAATCTTAGGGTCTGATCTCAGGAGAGAGTCTGAGCTGGGAAAAGGATGAGGGTCGTCAAGTGTGGGAACAGGTGCTGGTTTAAACCGTGGAAATGGAGGGATGTCCTAGAGAGGAAAAAGGTGGGAGCTAGAACACAGTTCTTAGAGCTAAACAGAGGAAGAGGAGCCCACAAATGAGGTCAGAAAGAGCCAGAAAATGTGACTACTGAGGAGGGGCTGTCACAGCAGGAGAGGCAGAGAAGTCCAAGAGTCTGGGAAAGGAAACTCAAGGATTGAGAGCCTGGCCTGTCCCATACTTGGATACAGAGGCTAAGAGGCAGCTTGGCTGCCAGTGGGATAGCAGGACACATAGGGCATGGGTTTTCTATTGCTGTGTAACAAATTGCCACCCATATGACAGCTTACAACAACACCCATTACTTATTGCCCTGTCTGTGGGTCAGAAGTCCTCAACTGTTCTGTAGGTCAGTGGGCTCAAATGGGTTCTCTGCTTAGTCTCACTAGACCAAAACCTAGGTGTCAGCTGGACAGCACTCACATGGAGGCTCTGGGAAGAATCCACTTCCAAGCTCATTTAAGTTGTTGGCAGGATTTAGCTCCTTGCAGTTGTAGGACTGAGGTCTCTGTCTTCATGCTGTCAGTTGGCCAGAGTCTCTCTCAGCATCTAGAAGCTGCTCTCAGGTCCTTCCACATTGCCCTCTCCAAGCCCAGCAACAGAAATATTCCCTTGCTTCAAATTCCTCTCACACTTCAAATCACCCTGACTTCTGCTGCTGCCACCAGCAGGAGGAAACTCTGCTTTTAAAGGGCTCATGTGATTAGGTTAGGCCCACCCAATCTTCCTATTTTTAGGTCAACTAATGAGCAATTTTAATTACATCTGTGAAATCCCCTTTGCTGTGTAACATAATGTAATCACAAAGTAACACAAGGGTGAAGGGCAAGGGCACCATCTTAGTATCCTGGCTACCACACAGTGTCCCAGGAGCTATGCAGGGGAGCCTCAGCCAAGCACTTAACCTCTTGGGACTTCATTCATTTTTCCCCTCTCCAAGATAAGGGTGACAAGATGAAGGTGTCACCCAGGATTGTAGAAGTTGCCAAATGACAGTAGAGGAGTCCTTGTCTTCAGAGATGGAAGGAAAGGGGTTAAAGGCATAGACAGGACGCAGCACTGGAGCTGGGGAATCTACATCAGCTCAGAGCACCTTTGCCTTGGCTCTTTCTTTTTTTTTTTTTTTTTTTTTTTTTTTGTCCTTTTTGGAGACCGGCTGCACCGCGCTCAGCCAGTGAGCGTTGTGAGCGCACCGGTCATCCCTATATAGGATCCGAACCCGCGGCGGGAGTGCTGCTGCGCTCCCAGCGCCGCACTCTCCTGAGTGCGCCACGGGCTCGGCCCTGCCTTGTCTCTTTCTCCACCGCTGCATCCTAGTCCAAACCCCATCACCCCTCTGCTGCTCCACTGCAAAACTTCCCTTCTTGCTTCCAGCCTTGCCCTACGCAATCTATTGTCCCCTTGCATCGAGTGTGGTCTCTATTAAAGCTAGATAAGATCAAGATCGCACCTGCAACTACACCTAATTCCTCCACACCATGCGGTCCTCATCTGCCTTCCCTCCTGCCCCGGCGCTCCCTGCCCACTCCCTCTGTCCCAGCACACTGGCTTCCTTCCTATTCTCACGCCTGCCAAGCTCTTGTCCCCCTTTGGCTTGGCCTTACATGTGCTGTTTTCTTTGCCTGGAAAGCGTTCTTCCCTCTTCTTCAAAGGTCAGGCTCTTATTCATCCTACATGTCTCAGATCCAGTGTCACCTCCTCAGAAAGGCCTTCCTTGACCACCTACTTAAAGGTACTATCCATTATATTACTGTCTATTAAATAAACGATGAGTTCTATAGGTTACATAGATTTTACTACATACAGCCTTTAATTATTTCATTTATTATTTATTGTCAGTCTCCACATCTAGACTGCAGGTTCTTTTTTTGGCAGGGGGGACTTACTGGGACTCTTTATTTCTTGTCACAAATGCTTTAATATCAGGATAAAGGTAAACTGCGTGTTCTTTGAGAGCAGAGGCCTTGTCTATTTCGCGTGCTGGACAGGGCTCTGTCCTTCTTGAGCCACAGTACATCCATCTTTAAGCAGAGGGTTATTAGCCTGCCTCGCCCACTTCTAGGGCCATTGTCAATTATAAACGAATAAACGAGAGAGTGGAGATGAAACTGTTTGGCGAATGGTAAGGCCCATGAAAACCTGAGTGAATACCATGCATTCACATCAAGGCTTCCAGAAAACCCCAGAGTACATACAGTGTGGAGGTGTTCCTTGCAGTGGCCACCTTGGCTGCTCGCATGTAACCCTTCTCTTTTTCTGTCTTGCCTCTTGTAGATTAAAGCTGGCTCAAACGTTTTGGGGCCCTTCTGTGGAGAGAAAGCCCCAGAACCCATCAGCACCCAGAGCCACAGCATCCAGATCATGTTCCGCAGTGACAACTCGGGCGAGAACCGGGGCTGGAGGCTCTCATACCAGGCTGCAGGTAACCTTCCCCCTCCTTGGTCACTGGGAGCCACAGCGCTCAGCCCTCACAAAGAGGTGGCTCAGGGAGGAGGGGGTGCAGGCCTGGGACTCCTCTGGGGACCTGGTGGAACTCCCAGCTGAGTGGCTTGGGATCAAGGCCCACTCTCTCTCCTGATTCAGTTTCCCATCTCTCAAATGGGAGCAAGAACAGCAATGATGTTGGGTTTGGATTAGACTGGTAGTTTTCAAAACTTGCTGAGCCTCAGAATTGTGTGGGGAGATTAAAAAATAAAAACGAAAGCTTGACTCCTGAACCCCATCCCTCACACAGTGATTCATTAGGCCTCAAGGGAGCCTTTCCATCTCCAGCCTTCTCCAAGTCTGAGACTGGAATTTAGATGTGGGCTATAGCCCAGAATGTTTTATTATGGTGGTTTGCCTCCTTGTGGACCCCCACAAAGGCAAGCCCTCAGGTCTTGTTCCCCAGTCCTCCAAGGCAGCCAGCCCTGGCCCAAACCCTGATAGAAATACAGACATTTGACCCACGGGGTCTTTAGTCACTCAAGGAAGAAGAGGGTGGATGTCAGGGACAAGAAGACCATGGTGGGGCATGATCAGTTCAGTTCATACAGACTCTGAAACCCTGGCCCTACCTGCACTGTCCCATTCAGTGCACAACCTGGGAAGAGGAGAGGTGAGGACATTAGCAAAGGACTGCTTGTCCAGGAAAAAGTGTTATGGATAGCCCCAGGCCGAGGATCCTATCAGCTTTAGTCTTTTGAATAATAGACTCAGACAGATGATCACAGTCTCCCTAGTGCTTACAAGGGTCTTGGGAAGAAACAGCAATCAAGGTCATCCTGGGTGGCCCAAAAGGGCAAACTATGCCCCATGAGTAAAAATTGCAAGGGTACAAATTTTGGCTGAATAGGAAAACATTGTTCATTTAATCAGAGCCTGTGGCAGCTTTGGGAGGTACTGAACTCCCTGTCACCATAAAAATGCAAAGAGATGTTCTGTGTCTACTACGGAGGATGTTGTAAAGGAAGCATCAGACAGGGTGGATTCAATGACGTTTAATATTCCTTCCAACCCTGAGTTTTAATGAAATCATATGCCAACAACCTCATTTTACAAATAAGGAAATGGAGGTCCAAGCTGTAAAGCGACTGGCTTGTGCTTGTGGAGTTAGTCTCTTTCAGGGCCTGGGAGATATAGGCCTCCAACACCCAGTGCTGTGGGTTTTCCACCTCCATCAGGCCTTGTGTCCTAGGGCTGGCCATTTACTGCCAGGCTTTTCCTTGTTTTTTCACCCGCTGTCCTTTCATTTGCTTCCCACCAGGAAACCAATGCCCAGAGCTACAGCCTCCTGTCCATGGGAAAATTGAGCCCCTGCAAGCCAAATATTCCTTCAAAGACCAAGTGCTCATCAGCTGTGACACAGGCTACAAAGTGCTGAAGGTGCAAGGCCCTGCCTGGGGAGGGAGAGCAACCAGGCCAGAGAAATTCTCCAGAGCGTCCCAGGGAAGATGGGTCACCAGAGCATGTCATGGTCCCAGCACCGTATTTCCTAGCTGCCCCATAAACCTCCCAAATGCTCCAGAAATTCCAAAGCATATGTCCCAGACTCTCTCTCACTTCTGGAAGTGACACAAAAGTCTTTCATCAGAGCATGGGCTGGTTTGAATTTTTAAAGATACAAACCCATACAGCTCTATAATCAAGGCTGACAACCTCCACCAATTCATCAGGCTTATGGGGTGGAGTGGGGTTCTGGGAATGAAAGTAGAGGTTTTAAAGGTGCAGACAGGCACTCCTCACACTCCCACCATCTGAAATAGTGGTTCCCCTAGGAATCACCTGGTTAGCTTTAAAAAAAAATCCCCTCCTAGGTCTCACTTGAGATCAATTAGAGCAGATCTTTGGAGCTAGGACCAGTGATCGGTTTTTCTTTTATGTTCCCCAGGTGACTCTAAACTATATCCAAGCTAAAGGACCATTGCTCTCAAGGAATGTTCTTAGAGAGGGGTCCCTGGACCAGCAGCCTCAGCAAGACCTGGGGACTTGTTAGCTATGCAAATTCTTAGGTAGGCCAGACCCAATGAATCAGAAACTTTGGGGCAGGGCCCAGCAGTGTGTGTTTTAACAAGCCCTCCAGGCACCTTACTCAAGGTAGAATCACTGCTCTGAAAGTCCAGGACAGTTTTTCCTTCGGGTACAACTGCCCAGACCTCTTCCTGCGCATAGCTCCTGACTCTCCAGAACACAAACAATGAGTATAAATTCAGCATCGATCTTTCCCTTACCTTCAAGCTTGCCCTTGGAGGCCCAGGGGTGGAAAATCCCAGTTGAGGACAGCCAGTTTTGGAGTTTGAGCTGGGTTTGCTGGGAAATAACCACTGACCTCATGCCCACTTCCTCCTTCCTCATCTTTTCTTCCTGTTTCTTCCCAGGATAATGTGAAGATGGACACATTCCAGATCGAGTGTCTGAAGGATGGGACGTGGAGTAACAAGATTCCCACCTGTAAAAGTAAGACAACTAAATGCACTGACTGAGAATCACGAGCTTCGCCACACGCGGGCAAGGGCTCAGCAGGAACACTTCAAGAGGTGTGGGGGCGGAATTCAACAGACATGTGAGGTTTGGACAGAAAGAGCATTAATGCTCCTTTCAGTAACAAGACATCAGGATCCCAAAAGAAACTTCCTGTGGGCCCCAGTTGACTCTCTAAATGCTAATTTTACCTCAGCCTGCAGACAGGATGCCAAGCTTGCTGAAGGAATAGCATGTCTCCAGGTTTGAAACTAGCTCTGGCAATTGCTAATTCAGGAAAGTAGTTTGTTGCCCAGAGCTAAGCGAATTTGTTAGTCTCTATGTGGCCGTCAGCCATATCCACTAAGTCTTCTGGGACAGCTCATGATTTCAGGCTGGGGGTCAACACAGTGGGCCCGTGTGAAGCAGGGATCAAGCTTCACTGGCTCTTGGGACCCAGAGTTCTTGCCTTGGTTCTGCCGCTAACCCACTCTGTGACCATAAACAAGATCTCTCAATTCAAATAAAAGAGAGTTTGGACCAGCCTTCATATTCTAGAATATGTGCTAGTGGTTCTAAAATAAAATAGTCCATATAAATCATCTACCGAGCTTTGTCAAAATACAAATTTCCAACCACCACTTCCTCTCTCCCCACCGAGGGGATTCAATGCAAGGCTTGTAAGGACCGCGATTTTAGAAGCTCGCCTATGGCAACGGTGATGAGAGGAGACGTAGAGAAGTCAGGGAAGGAAGGAAGGAAGGGGGAGGGTGTGCTTCAGAATGGACAGGTGAGAAGCCAGGAATTAGGGCTGGTCCCACCCACACCCATTTCATGAGTTCTCTTGTAAACTTTGGAGTGCTGCCCTCTTCTCTTTCTCCTGAAATGGCTCCAATCCAGTAGGCAGACAGATCCACTCACATTGCCCCAAGTGGGACACGCTTGAGCAGATTCCAGGCAGAGCTTTGAAGTAGAATGTATTTATTCTTAGTTTTCTTTTTTGTGTGAGGGTGTGGCTGGAGTTGGGGCCCAGTGTGGAAAAAGAGGGGCATTTTATGGCTTCAACAAAAAGTTGCAACTAATGTTTACTAGATGCCTGTGCAGAGTTCTACAAGGAATTCAGTTGGAAAAGACAAGGTGCAGGCGTATCCGCCACCTCCACCAACACGTGCCTTGATGTGTAGTGCTAGGACTGGGTTCTGAGCACAGCAGGCTGCAGAACAAGCAAGGTCTTTCTGAAGGAGAAGATAAAAGAAGACATGGGGCATTCAGGACAAAATCTAGCTTTGGAGTCAGGAAGTTCTAGATTCAAATGCAGACTCTACCAGTTGAGTGTCACTAAGCAATTCACT